GCGATCCTCTTCCCGTGGCGGTCAAAGTAACCGTCTTTATGGGGGTCCACTGCACTGGCATAGCCAGAATGGAAGTTTTCCGTGTGTGTCCATCTTCTCTCACAGAAGCGGTGAATGTGGCATTGGATGCCGAATGAAACTTTAAGTCGGCACGTCTTATTTGGAATGCACACCCGTATAGCTCGTCGAGCAGACCGGAGCCAATGTGAAATTGAGAGAACAGAGCTCCGAGCAGCTGTACAGCGTCTGCACACCCGACGGTGTTTTGTCGTGGAAACATTCGTCACCACCGGACTGGTTGTCCCCTGCGCAAGGCACGTAAAGGTTCATTGAATCGTCATCTTGCTTTTCAGAAGTCTTCTGCCTCGTCACGGGAAAACGACAACACGCAGTAGGCGCGGGTCGCCCTACTGGAGAAGATTTGAGTTGTGTTGAGCCTCAAAGAGGTAGAGGTCAGAAGAACACAACACCGAAGAGCTTTGTGCTTGTGTACACGTAACGTGTTTTCAAGCCGGGCTTGCTGGTCGTGTAAGCGACCGTGAAGGGCTTTGAGAGGCCATGGAAGATCCTTATCGAATCCGCGGCGTCAGGCTATTATGCTCGACGCTCCACGATGGAATAGAGTCAGCTGTATGCAGATGCGCTGAAAGCGCAAGTGAGTGACATGGTCAGTGTTTGCTTAGTGACGAGGACATGTGTCACGGTGCCGATGGTGCCTGCTGACCTCGGTATCAGTTTTTTTTTTAATAGCGTGGAACCCTGCTATTCTCAGCCCTGAATTCATGGTATGACCTAAACCTTGGTATGGCATGGTTGAAATACCATGATCCATGGATTTGATTGAAAGTTGAAGACCTTGTGCGGTACGCGAACGTCTCCTGGTGATCTTTAGTATGTTGTGAACCCAGTTCTGCTATGAAGCAGAAGCGCTATTGGTGCAGGCACTGCTCTGGGACGATCAATGTGCTGGATATTAGAGTATCCGAGTTGGTAAAGACCGAAGGTGCATTGGACAGGAGACCCGAGCATGGCTCGCTGACTAATCGTGGAGTGGTACATAACCCAGTGAGTGCTGCTCAAGTATTAGAGCAGTTGCTGCATTCCATGCGTCACATGGTTGGCCATGGACAAAGGCTTTAAGAGGAGGCCCCAATGTTGCACGTGGAGTGGCATGTAAACCGCTGCACTGAGCACTGCTCATGTTACGAAGCAGTCGCTGCATGCCGCGAGTGGCATAGTCGGACGAGGTCCGAGGCATCTTGGGCAAGGCCCTTTAGATGCGCGTGATGTAGCGCATTTACCACTGGCAAAGACTGCGGAGCTAGCGGATCTTCGTCGATGTTGTTCATAACATTAGGGCTCCGATGGAGCAGGGAGTGGGGGTGCTAAACGACGCTGAGTGTGTGATCACACTAGTCTCGACGAGATGTACCACCTCTGTGAAGAGTCGACAGCAGCGCCATAAGCTTGCTGCAATACGCAGGGCATCCAACCTAACCCAGGGTGTGTCTACTGTAGACGATAGCGCACAATTATACACCCTCGTTCACGGTATGACGGGGTAAAATACGGCGACAGGAGCCTTTAACTTATTACCGCGGTAGATGTTCTCCTTGAGCTGGACGAGATGTCCTTTGAAGAGTACGGCATGCCTTGGAGACAGGCGACATAGCCGAAGTGGTCATTATACGACCGAACGAGGAGATTGCCTCGTCGTCGCTTCTGAATGAAGCTGTCCTGGAGGGCACTTAGAGGGTGCTGACCGCACAAAGTATATCGTCGATCCTAAGGTTCCCTCGGATCCGTACTATCCTTTTGTGAAAAAATTCCAAGACGTCGTTTCCAAAGACCTGTCTTCGGTCCTACCTCCAGCTTGAAGTTTGCGTCATGAGATCGACCTGGTTCCGGGAACCAAATAATACGTAACACGCCAATGCTCCCTACCCAAGGAGCAGTGTGACATCACTAACGCCTTCTTCCGTGCAAAGCACGACGCAGGAATGGTGCATGAGAGCAAGGCTCCCCATTCGACACCCACGTTTTTGTGTCAGGATGCCGAACGGCGAGTGGCGTATCGTTCACGCTTACAATAAGCTCAACGCTGCCACCATTCCGGCACAGACACCGAATCATAGGAAGGATGTTCTCATGAGCAACATCGTTGGATTTTCAAAGTATAGCGCACTCGACTTGGTCGACGGATATCACCAATTGCTCATGAGAGCGAGTGATATTCTACTGACAGCGGTGGGAACTCCGATCGGCATGCACTGGGAGTGGCTGGTGATGCCCCCAGGCTGTCAAATGCACCAGCAACCTTTGATCGTCTTGTGACGCAAATGCCCGGGGCCCATCAGGCGTGCGTACAGACATACTGCGACGACATCTTCGTCCACAGTCATGCGGACACGGGAGAACGGATGAAGAAAACTACATTGTTTATAGCGGTGCTCAAGTACATATGCACGAATAAGCTGTATGTTCATCCGAATAAGTGCATCTTTAACAAGAAATCCCTTTTCTAGGATGCTCCATTGGGAAGCGTGGCCTTCGATTGGATTTGCTAAGGTCAAAGCCATTGTGAACTGGCCCATTTTCAAAGAACCAAAAGAACTTGCGCAAGTGGCTTGGCCTCGCCAACTACTTGCTCAAGTATAGCGCAAATTATGCGGAAATGGCACGGCCATT